ATCCAAACAGGCCAGATACCTATAGCTATGTCAGCTATGTCAGCAAAGTTTAATTTGCTTTTGTTATTTTGTCATTGCTGTCTTTGACGATTGTTTTCCCTGAATATTAATATTAATAATAAAATTTTCACAAGGTTATGAATTATTAAAACAAAATATTTTTAAAAAATTGACGTAATGGCATGCAACTCTAACTAAAGTTGTGTGCATAAAGACATAAAAATAGGCCTGCCAAGTTTCATTTGTCCACCGTAAGTATTTTTACTTAAACGTGCTGACACGATTTTTGCCAAATTGTCTGTCATATCAATTTGAAAATGTATATTTAAAAAAATAAAATTTTTCAATAACCTGACAATTTAAAAAGGCCATTGTCTATAAATAGATTTGAATATTCGAGCAACATTTTATTTGTTTACTTTGAGTGGTCTTTCCGGAACTCGTGCTATCAGCGCTTATGACGGACGGACTGACTGACAGACATAACCACAAAAATTCCGACGCTTCATTCAGTGGGGGCATACAAATTTTCAATATTGTTTGGATATAACAAATGTGTCATCAATTTTTCATACCAATAAATGAGGCTCTGGTATAACTATTTGTTTGGAGAAAAGTATAATATATAATTCGTTCCACATCAACAATTGGGAAGAAGATTTGAATTTGATTTCGTTGTCTTTAACGTACACTTAAATATTTTGTAAGTAGCGTCTATGAAAATTAACTAGATGGCTGAGACTCATGCAAGTTGCTTGTGACTGATTATCATGCCAACTGGTTTGGTTTAGTTTTTTATATTTTGCTTTACGGTATGGCGACACAGTTGTTATTTTTACAATTAACAATTGGAGTAAAGTGACTTATTTAAGGATACCACGGAAACCAGGTTTAATCAGACTGTAGTATTCGAACTTGCATCCTTTCGATCGCGATTCTAGCACATTAACCCCTGAGTCACCTTGCCTACTGCCTCTGTTTTACGCCTCTTACATGACGACGCCTCCAGCCTATTCTAACATCCTTGAATCCGCAACAAGGATGGAAAGAAGCAATGAAAACACGTTTTTTAATGGATTTTTACTATATTTAAAGCTTTAAAGCGAGGCATTCCAACACTTTTGTTTGTTTTCATTGGCTGTATACATCCGTAAATTATATGAATGTGATTTACAGATGGCATCTATCGTGCTCTGTAAGTGTCCAAAGAGTCAAGCCAGGGGAACTCTGCGATATAAATACACTTACAAAGATGAAACAAACGCTTGATACAAAGGTTGTAAAAATGGTACAGTATTAAATTAATATTAATACTAATCGGAACTGTTAATGAAAATATGAGTGAGCCAAATGCGTGTCATAAGTTTTGTAGACCTATATTCCTTATCTTTTGGAACACATTGATTCCTAATGTTTAAGTATTAGCTAAACAATTATATTTGGCCATAATCTGTTTCTAAGCCCTAAATATCTAAACATTAGATCTTTCATACAGAAAAATAAAATTAACTATTAAAATCAAATCTATTCTTATGCGTCATATTTCGGTGATCCGGTCAACAGGAATGCTCCATAAAACAGAACCAATTCTTAATATTTAATCTCAGTGATCTGTTATGTATACTTAATTTAATTATAAGTTTGTTAGTTTTTTTTAATATTTCATTACATGCTAATTTAATGTAACATTGTTTGCTGGACTTAACCTTGTCCAAAACTGAGTTCATTTCTGCTTGACCTGATAGACTTCTATGTTAATTTATTCATTGTAAACAACTAATACATAGTTTAATTATTCTCTATGTGCATGGGTTTAATATCAGGATAATAAACAATAGAAGAAGCAAATATATTTATTTAGAACAAAGTTTTTGGAATTGAAGTGAATTATGGGTAAGCCGGGTTTTTATTTTGTAAATATCAGTATCATTCTTGAAGGTTTTTTCCATTAGGTAAATGTTTATTTTGTAAACTGCAAAGTGTGACAAGAGGTCAATTAGAGAACTATGTAATCTTGTGATTGTAATTACATGGTGTTACGTGACGGCTCGTTCTATGTAACAAAAGAAAGAGTACAACAAGCTTTATGTATTTTAACCGATATAATTTATTTTCCTAGAACTCATAAAATAATGTAAATAATTTAGGTAAGACTTACGGTTTACGGAAATGATCAAAAATTTTGTTCAAAATAAAATTACGAGTCCTGTAAAGAGTTATAAGCACAGTCTGAAAGTGTATGATGTTTCGGTCCAAAATGGCGGTTGACCACGTCAGACGAAGGCTAACAACAAATTCCAGAATTTACACAGTAAACAATGTATGTGTTGTCCCGTTCCACAATATTAGGGTGAAATTGTCCAAATACGTAATGTTGTTCTCTAGGAAAATAATTATAAAGACGAAGAGAAAAATAATTCTTTTAACACGGCATGTTATTTTACGTAGACATACGGACAACTTCTTCTTCTGGCAAAACAAATTAGAAGTTGTATAACAGACTCGACTACGACAGTCCGTTCGTGACTGTTGACTCTCGACCACGACAGTCTGTCCGTGACTGTGTATGAATTACAAAATCTCAAGCATATATATATATATATATATATATATATATATATATATATATATATATATATATATATATATATATGTGTGTGTGTGTGTGTATGTATATATATTTATCTATATATCTATGTATTTATGTATTTAAATATATATATATATATCTAAATATATAAGTATATATATATATATGTATTTATGTATGTATGTGTATGTATATATATATGAAAGCTAATGCTTTGTTTGAACTGCACAAACACGAAGTCGCATGCAATTTCGTAGTACCTTCTGGACATTCAGGAAAGCCTGGCCCAGTATCAACCAATCGTTTTCGTGGCTATTCCTGAATGTTTATTTGTAATGAATTTGCTGTCATACACAACACGTGCTAACATGAGCCACATATACGACTCAAGCAAACACTTTTATCAAAAACATGTTAGACAATATTAATGAAATAAAATGAAATAAAATGATTTATATAGAATTGATTTCCTTAACACATACTTTAACTCCAGGATCGTAACAATGGTCATTCGTGCTTTCAAGTTGTATGCTGTGACCAGTTGGGCTGATTTTTTTTGTCTCTTAAATTATTGAATTCAAGTGATTGATTTTTCTATAAATACAAAAGTGTTCTGATAAAATTTTTGGATAAGGACATTCACTGGAATTTACAGTGTATTCGACCGGTGGAATTATATTTCAGTGATTCAAAGAAAGACGGTTGATACATCATCACTCCATAAGCTATAACAGACATATCATTGCCTTCATTTTTGGATTTCTTTGGGACTTATACTGAGTTGTATTCAGGAATTTACATTATTAGGACTCGTGTTTGTTTTTCTTGGATTATTTGGTAATTTAATTCGCAATACCGTAAGTTTTTTTTTACTTCTCATTTTTATTTCGTATTCTAGGGATATAAATTGTCTGTTAAATGTTACAATGCCTACTGTCCACGAGGACATTCTAAAGAATGGAATTAATTAATTATTGGGGGATTGAATGGAGCTGATTATTCGTTTTAGTTGATTAGATTTTACCTAACATTTTCATGAGAATTTGAACAGCTGTTTATCTCATGTTTGCCTTAAACATTTTATGATTTAATTTATGTTCAATGCTACATATGTGCAGGTTCCTATGCTATCAGCTTCTACACTTTTGAACGTGGTCAATTCCTATTTAATGACAGTTGCTACTCGGGTATGTGGTTCCTATCTGGTCAGCTGCTACTCTTGTGAAGATATATTTCTTTCTATTCAAAGACCGTTGCTACACTTATAAAGGTGTCCGGTTCCTAGTTAGTGACAGATGCTACACTGATGAAGTTTCCTATTTAATGATTGTTGGCTCCGAATTTTAAAAATTAGAATTATTTTAAATCTTAAAGTCAATAACTACATATCCGTTCACAATATTCTACTGAATGGAGGCTGTTTCCATATTTGGTGAGATCTTTGATATACAGTCCTCTTGAATTCCCCACCCCACTCCCAAGAATGAGATTTTTTTGTAAGGCCTAGAACGAAGCTTTCCCTAAATTTGGAGAAATGATTTCAGTGAGTGATAAGATGAAATAATATCTTGTGTAATTATAACAATATGATAGCGTTATACGCATGGACATTTTGATTGGTTGATTGAGATACAATTTCGAAACCGTTAGTGCTATTTAATTATATCAGTTACAATTTTTGATATTTTTGCTTTGTAGAAAATATTTATAGACAAAATATCTTGATATACGGAGAGAGATGTCTTTGCAGCTACATGTTTATAAACATGGCTTCTATCAGTAACAGACCATTTTATCCAACCCGAGTATGGCAACGCTCTCACTAAGCTACGTAAGTCTGACTTAACAAGGTTAAATACGCTTTTGTAAAATCAATGCTATGTGCGCAATCTCTAAATGACGTGATCATTGCAGTATGACATTATCAATACGACGCAATTTTACCACTGTGTATTACAGAGCTATGAACTATGGGAGACAATGGAGTTGAAATCATGTGGCTGCGACTTCGGTCTCGTATTAAATAATAACAATAACAAATTAATTTCAATTTTAATAATTACCATATTTGTTATGTGAAATACAACGATAAAACCAACGAAAGCTGACGAGATCTTTTAAAAAGCTTCAGCGATTTTCAACCTTCTGGTTAATCTGCAGCACGTGCTGTATGTTATGGATACTAATGTAGGTTGAATAATGGTACCATACTAAAAAAAATCAAACAACAAACCAAGATCACTTACCAAAAAAAGGCACCCATTTCTGTGTGTATTTTGTAAGCGATTATGTGACTTGTGCAAATCTGACGAATTTATAAAAATTCATTCAGCTGTTAATTGCTGCCAGTAGATCTTCTCATGGGATTTTTATAGGGTAATTTTTCACATATTTCTATCAAAATCACTCCGGTAGCCCAGTGGCTAGACGTCCGCCTAGGATGCGGGAGGTCGTGGGTTTGAACCCCGGCCAAGTCAAACCAAAAACTTACAAAACTGGTAGCTGCCTCACTTGGCACTCAGCATTACGAGGTTAGTGTTAGGACTGGTTGGCCTGGTGTCAACATAATGTGACTGGGTGGGACATCATGCTACATGTTTGCGGCATGATGCTCAGTGCCACTATAAACTGCCACACTGCAGACATAGTTGCGATATGACTGACAAATTGTTAACGCTACGTGAAAAATCCAAATCACACACACACTGTCACAACCCTTGCATTCAGCTAACAACGGCACAAACATTTTTCACGCGCTCGTATTCGTTTATAGCGAGTTAGGATTGCTCACATACTTAGCTATGTAAAAATATAAAATTATTGAAATCTTAAACTCTCCACCATTTCAAATGTGAAGAGTTGGAGCCTTCATTCATCTTATCAAAACCTCGAGAAATAGGTTACATTAACAAAGACTACAAACTATGTTCTTCTCCCTCTAAACAATAATTATTTAAGAAGATAAAATATTTACATATCTTTTGCACAGATCAGCTCAAAATTTCATAAAATTTCCCCAATATAAAGTTGTTAAGATTATTTAAATACAGTTTGTTTATATATATATATATATATATATATATATATATATATATATATATATATATATATATATATATATATATATATATATATATATATATATATATATTTTTACAAATTTTTAATTTGTAATAGAATTTTCCGAACTTAGAAAAGGAATGTCTTTCACTATTGGAACTATATTTAAAAACTTTTTTTCTCGTTAAACTGAAATGTTACCGGAACATGCATTTTTTTGCTTGTTTTATACAACTTCGCTTTGTTTGACACTTATGTTTCATTCATTGAGTTGAAACTAATTTTGCATAGTTAGAAATTCGCGTAATCGCAAAATAACTCTTCTACCAATCCAACTTTATATTTATTATTAGTTGAACTAAATATATTCTAATTCTCACGGAACCTTTAAGAAGGGTAATTACGTGCTCCTTTTTTACATAATTATATGTCATGAGAAAGAGTTATTTACTTAAATTTTATAATCGCTTTATAACCTTGGTAAAGAATAGCGAGAGTTCAACGCAGCATTTCAGTGTACTAAATGCCAAAGGGATCATTAGAGACACAGCGGGTACCTATTACATAATACAGTTTCACCACGCCCTGAATCTTACAGAAGCATAATCTGTCGAGAAAGTTTTGGTTCCAGCTCATAAATATCAGTGAGGGAACTACTGTAATTAGTCATGTCTGACTCAGTGGCAACTGGCTCAGTATAACACGCTACACAAACAGGTGTCACGCTAACCGGTGCTGTTACAATTACGACACCGATTTCGACGAATGATATATGCACCAAAAACACGGGGTTCTATTCACAGAAAATATACCCTTGGCAGAACCAGTTTTCTCACTTTCGACTTCTAGAATATAGCATTACCTTTCAGCACAACACAATTTTTGAAAGCATCATTCTCCCGCCATAAAGTACATCAAAATAAATAAATAAATAAATAAATAAATAAATAAATAAATAAATAAATAAATAAATAAATAAATAAAGGCAAGACGTGTGTTAGTAATCTTAGAATGAAGAATGACAAAAAAAATATTTGGTAAAACTGTACACAAAGTTTACGATGAGACTCATCTAAATAAGCTGGTGATTTCAAATTCGCCGTAAACCACATACATAAAAAAGTAGGCGAAAGGTTCGGCACGCGAAACATGCGACTGAAAGCAGTCCAGTGCGTTCGATTAGACATCGAGTTTTAACATTAATGTCTGTACTAATCAATTTACTAGGATGGATTTCTTTGGCTTTCATATCTATTTTAAAGACACACTCATCATATTCTCGTGAACAGCCAAGAACTCTGCGTAATCTAGATGGCGAGAAACAAAGAACAATTACAACTAAGCTATTTAGAACCTCGAGTTTTTTTCTTGACGTTTAATTAATCTTCTGTTAAGTCAAATTCTCAACTCAGACGCAAAATTACAGATTACCAAGCTGTAGGGATCACAAATTCCCATTTAACTTGAGCATTGACGAAAAATTTTGTAGAGTACGTGCTTTCAGTCCCAGTGCAACTGCAGATAACATTTGGTCGATCTAAAATATTTCGGCCTCACAAAAAGACTTAGTCAAAGGAAAAAATATAATCAGGTCAAAACCTTTAACAACTTTGTTTCGTTTCCTACTTATCATGTAAAATCAAATATGTTTTTAGTTCGCAACACAGGATGTTTTCTCCGAACTAATCTTGTTGGATTGTGAAAGTAAGAAACTCTCACTTTACATAATTATGAGAACATCATCATCATCATCATCATCATCATCATCATCATCATCATCATCATCATCATCATCATCATCATCATCATCATTGTCGTCGGCGTCGTCAAACTACAAATCCCATGCCTGTCCACTTCTTAATGTTGTCTTTCCACCTCTTTTCTGTCTGCCTCATTTCTACACCTTCGCACTATGCTTTGCAAGATTGGTTTTGCTAGTCCAGATCACCTTGAGACATGACCCTTTTTGCACTTTTTTTTACAGTGGTCAAGAGGTTTTCATAGGATCCGATGGCTCGTTGAATCCTTCTGTGGACTTCGTTGGTTACATGGTCAATGTATGAGACTCCAAAGATCTTGCGGTAACATCGCATTTAGAAGGTTTGATGTGAGTGTCCATGTTTCACAAGCATACAGAAAGATGGATATGACAATAGAGAGCATCAGCCTTATTTTGGAACCAAAATCAATGTTGATATCTTTCTATATTTTTTCAACCTTGTTATTGCCGTTGTTATCTGTGTAATCATACAAAGTAGTTCTGGTTTGGAGCCCTCATCTGTGATAATAAATCCGAAGTAGTTGAAGCTTGTGAGTCTTTCAAGCTTCTGTCTACTGACCTTTATTTCGTATTGATGCCATTGGTGTTGTTTGTCATCATTTTGTTTTTATCGGTGCTAATCTCCATACCTTATTCTGTGGAGTGTGGAGGTTATGTCGAGGCGCTCAGGTCTCACTGGATCGTTTCGTATTTTGACACCATCACCCCATAATTTTAAGGTAGAAGGCATGAGCCTAATCATCACAACCCTAGCATTTATAAATTCACACATAAGCTAAATCTGTAATGTGGTTTACGTTTACGTTTGAATTAGGCTTGTAAATGGATTGCCTTGTTGCCTGTTACAGTTAGACTAGCATTGGAGATCAAATGCGTAACTTGGGCTGCAAATGAGCAGTTGACTTGGCCTACGTATTTACATGTGTCTGCTACAGAGATAAATATCTAAAAATCTAAATGATTGAGGGCTGATGAAAAGTATGTTAATTTGTTATAGTACTAGTGAACTTTCAAGATGAATAAGGTACATACTGACTCTGTTAGCCTGCTTCTCACAGAAACAGGTTGAAAATAGCTCTTTTCTGTCAAAAATAAATGCAAAAAAGAGGGGTTGGTGGTAGCATAGGTTCAGTATCAAAACCACCAGTTGCATAAGGAATTAACCTTAATACCTTACTCAGAATCTTACAAGCATCCTTTTAACAAAAATCATTAGTTAGTTTTTATTTGCATCTTTATTGTAAAATTATTATCATTTTTTTGCAATAGGTCATCGTCGGATGAAAATTTGCCAAAAAAAAAAAAACTGTACTGTGAGACCTCAATGCAACTTTGAAGTATCACTCCTATTGCGTCAGTTAAAATTAGCATTCGTCTATACGACTTCTTTAGTAACGTGCTACCTAAGATTCCAAAGCGGATGAGTCGTATTATTTTTAACTGACACAGCTAATTAGTGTCAACTCGCTTTTGATGTTATAACAATAGATCCATGCTGAACACTACCTAGATTAATTCCATTGTGCAGCCACTATAGAAACAAATAGTCCTTTTCCTGTTATTAAGAACGACAACTATTCAGTGTCCTTTATATAATAATAAAAAAAATATCATACAAAAACAATTACAGCTGTTCCCATAAGGCCTGCTTTTGTGTTGCGATGGTTATTATTTATATATGTTGTCATAAATTTGCAAACTTTTGAACGAAATCATTCCGACCATTTCTTTTGTGCTCTTTTTTTAACCAATGGCACATGTGTTGTCAACAAGATTAAATAAGTTTTCAGTTTTGATTAACTGCAATAATAAATTACTATTTTGCAGCACTTACATTTATTACTGAAATTATAGTGGATGTATTCTTTTCATGAAGGGACCGAAAAAGGTCTAAACTGGAATTTACAAATAAATGGAAAATTTGTATTTTGTTAGCTATTCCCAAGACACACTTACATACCATCTGTGCTCGTTTATAAGGTAAGGCCAACTGCAACAAAACCAGACACAGATCTGCCGTCGCATGATGCACAGACAGATCTGGTCGGTGCAGTTTGTTAGGAGTAATCAAATGAATAAATAGTATCGATCCTGATCTGATTGCTATTTTAGATTAGGATGTTTATTGTTTGATTTGTCTTATTACGGTACATTGAACGTCATTGTTTAGAAAGTGAAATTACCATTAACCACTTTAAGAAAATGTTGCTTAAAACTTTACAATGCCATGCTATTCTTGGTAGCTTATGGATCCAATATTAAAATGAATAAAATGGCAATCATATACATGAATCGGGTCAAGTTACAATAATTTTGAAATTGTGCGTTTGATTATGTCAGTTACTGCAACAGGTCTATAAAACTGATATAATAATAAGGCCACTTACCGCACAGTGTTGTAAAATTACATGTATTCAACAAGACCACTTACCGCACATTGTTGTATAATTAAATGTTCTCAACAAGACCACTTACCGCACAATGCTGTAAAGTTACATGTGTACCATAAGGCCACTTACCGCACAATGCTGTAAAGTTTTATGTATTCAATAAGGCCACTTACCGCAGTGTTGTAAAATTACACGTATTAATTATTTAGACATTTTGCATAAATAGAACATCTGTAAGGAACACAAG